GTTGAGGATATAGTTTTTGTGAATTTTTTAGTCGTTGAAGTTGGAAGTGAAGTCGGCGAAAATTAGCATCTTCGACTGCCTCTATTTACGTCTACTCGAAGTGCTAAAATCGCTTAAGCTGCTCCATACATTCGGAAAAGGTTGAGGTAGAAGTCTCAGCAAGGGAATCTCAATAGGACGCTTTGGAACTAATTTCAAGAATTTCAAAGTTGGCAACCTTCACCTTGCCAATATTGGGCAGGCTCACGTCTGTTCCACCTGAAATTTCATGCTAATAGTTGAATTAATTGAATTTGAATTTGATATTCTAATACTACGAGAAGTTTGCTATTAAACGATATTAAGCTTGCTTGCAAAACGTTTTACTTTTGGAACAAATTTTTCGATTGAAAAAAACGGCCATTACTTATTAGCCAGCCCACTGCTAGTGGGCTGGCTAATAACTGCTAGTGGGCTGGCTAATAAGTAATGGCCGTTTTTTCAATTGAAAAATTTGTTTCAAAAGTGAAAAGTTTTGCAAGCAAGCTTAATATCGTTTAATAGCAAACTTCTCGTAGTATTAGAATATCAAATTCAAATTCAATTAATTCAACTATTAGCATGAAATTTCTAAATAGAGGCAGTTGTCGAAGATGCTAATTTTCGCCGACTTCACTTCCAACTTCAACGACTAAAAAATTCACAAAAACTATATCCTCAACCAAAGCTTTTTTGATATTCTTATACTACGAGAAGTTTCCTATCAGATGATATATAACTTGCTTGCAAAACGTTTCACTTTTCGAACAAATTTTTCAATTGAAAAAAACGGCCATTACTTATTAGCCAACCTAATACTGTACCACAGAGAGTATAGTTCTAGTGAAGCCCATGGTCAAGAGTTGCGCGTATGTGGGCGCTTCATTTGACTGATTCATGGAGTGATTCATTACTCCAATGGCAAGCATCTGGACTGTTTCTACAGAATCTGGTCCAAGCTGAGGCCGCGGTATACGAGATAACGGCAGTTGTTTTGGACTCGGGTAGATTTACCTCGTAAGCTGGTCAGTAGACAGCTGAAATTGTGGCGACGAATCTGTTTATCTTTTTTCTATTATTGTTGTACAAAAGAGTACACTGGGTTGTTTTTCACGAGAAATGTCACTGCTTTCAGGAGGTCAAGTCAGCAAGTGCAGAATGTAACGGTGTTTTTTGTGTTCTTCATGGCCCTTTACGCCATTGTCGGCATTCAACTTTTTGGCAGGATGGACTACCATTGTGTACTTCCTAGTGAGTTCAACTGGCATAGACGTGTGACAGATCCACGCGAGAAAACAAACTTACTGGGCATATGTGAATCGCTACACATAAGCAGTTTCTTATCACCTTAACCTCGAGGATAAAGAGGGAAAGGATGGCAGTATTCGGTGTTATGGTATGGCTATGGTGGAATGCTTAAAAGATACCAAGTGTAGGGTAAAGCATAGAGTCTTCGCCGTTGATCAATCCCTTTGTGGGATGCATTCTACTTCCATTCAGAATCGTAGTGGCTTATTGAATGCGATGTGGCCTATACAATGACTTGCGGTGGCCAGCCGATGTACAAGTCAGTGTTTTATCCTCCCAGACGAATCTGGTACCAATTTACGTTTCCAGGGGTAGAAGGCTTGGTTGGCCTAGGTGAGAATCGATCCAGGGTTTGATTACAAGTTTTGTTGAATCGATCTAGGGACCGCGACTATTACTTGACGAGTTGACCTCACAGTCGGCGCAAAGAGTCTAACTATAAGAGTTTTTGGCGGGAACATCCAAACCTTTATGATAAGTGCTCCACAGTTAGAGATGCAAAGAAGCTACATCTTGAGCGAAGGAGCCTCAGAAGAAAAGCTATGGCCAGGTGAAGGGCTCACGCGCGCAACGTGGAGAATTTGTTGTGAGCAAATGAAAAGTGTTCCGCAATTAAACGCAGCACCAGTGGTCAAATGACTGTAAAATAATTATCTCAATTCATTTATATATGAAAAACGGAAGATCGCTCCTGCAAGACGGTTTTCGAAAAGCCTCATTGTTTAAAACGAAGTATCCACTACAGGTCATCAGACTTTTACTATCGTCGCCACCAAAATGAAAACCAATGTTAGGGCCTCTCAAGATAAGGTTTTGAAGAAAGTTAAGGTCAAATATTAACAGAAAAACCTCCTATAGTCCACTAAACTTATTGATATCGCGCTCCTGAGGGGATATTGGCCACCTTGATTGCAATGCCCAGGGTTCCACTAAGACAATTTGCATCTCACCGGTTTTGGCCCGAATGCACTGATTTTCGGAGCAAGGTTTTATAGAACAAAAACTGAGAGTGAAAGAACCTTCATTCTAGACAATGGTGGCACACCATGCCTTTTAGCAGCCTTATAGTTCTTTTGATTTGACTCGCATTTGCAGCCGAGAGACAGCTGTATGCAAAAAAGTGGCCTATTGAAAGTGCTCTCCATTCGTTGGAGTTTTTGCGGAGAAATCTGCCCATCGCGTAGGCAGTCGTCCAGGTTCCCTTTAATATCCCGTGAAATCCGATTGGTGATAACTCTGGTCCAGCGGTCGTCCTCGAAACGCATGACGTGTCCGGCCCACCTGATCTTCGAACCTTGGCAAATGCGGCGGCGTCTCTGATCTTCGATCGTCGGCGGAGTGCGGAGCTCCGGATTCCCTCTCTCACTTGCGTGTAGCGGGAAACTCCGAGCATCGCCCTTTCGATGGCGCGTTGAATAACGCCGACCGCATGTTCATCCTGCTTTCGTAGAGTTACAAGTCTCCGAGCTAGGTTAAAGTAGAAAGATCAGGAAATCGAATGCTCTCCAAGCCGCTCACTTAATCCTGCTCATTTTTCCCAACCCAGATACCCATAGCTAGAGCATACATGGATGTTCGTTCTGATGAGCGAGGACGGGGCATCTAGTATCGTTTCGGTCTTTGATAATAAGCTGTACCTAACCTTCTAGGTTTCTCTTCTTTGTCTCTGGGTTTATTCCTTATTCTGGATCTATTCAGACACCGATCCCAACAATGTCACCATAGCGGATCTGGCAATACCGGACACGATGTGTTCCCCAGCAGGAGGCGGAGGATATGAATGTCCAGGTGAAATGGTAAGTTCCTAAGTCAGCCGAACATTTGAAATCCAAAAAAAAACGCTGCTGTATGTGTACATGAAATAGCACGCCCAATATGATTAAGTGTGGATAGTCGATTGAGAACGGGAGATCCTTCAAAAACGGAATATAATTTATTTCTGCAGCCCATTTAGGTCTGCATGCGACTAAACTTGAACGCCAAAGCCGAAGGATTCTATGGGATGTTCAACGACTTTGGTATTTATTCTATTCTCCTCTATGAAATACACCATTGAGCATGGACGAGCCCGATTCGAGAATTGATTCAGGTGCCAGTGTTTTCACAGTTTATCTGGCAGCTTCCGAAGAAGGATGGGTGTACGTGCTGTACGACTGTATGGACTCCTTACCATCCCATCTAGCGTTCATCTACTTTCTCACGTTGATATTCTTTCTGGCTTGGTTAGTGAAGGTGAGCTCGTCTTATTTATAAAGCACGTCAGAGGTGTCTGCGTGTTATGTCGTTAGACGTGACTGCTCTTTTTTTTTTTTTTTTTTTTTTTTTTTTTTTTTTTTTTTTTTTTTTTTTTTTTTTTTTTTTTTTTTTTTTTTTTTTTTTTTTTTTTTTTTTTTTTTTTTTAGGAATTATCGCACGTACTGCGCACACTTTGGTTGTGGCGGCCGCTTGGAGGAGGAAAACTGTCGGAAGCACATGAACTACATCGTCTCTAAAAAATGAAGGTGAGGGTGAAGGAGATGTGCTAGAACAGGAATTGTCTCCCGCTGAGCTGCGAAGCATTCTCTTTTCATTTGCACCAATGAGACAGTCCGCCCTGGTCGTGGGAGAGGGGGGAGGGGTAGGCGTGCTTTGATCTCTGATGAATTTGTTGTCGCTGTATTTTGCTAAAGTGTTGTAGTTTGAAGGCCTGTTGAAGGCGTTACCTTGGAAAGCCCACCGGTGAAGGATTCGATGCAGGAGCTTTCAAAGCGCGTGTTGAACAATGATAGTTGTTCAGAATAAATCATTGCAGAATGTCTTTATCGCTGTAATCACCGAGACATTTGCCGAAATTCGAGTCCAGTTCAGTGAAATGTGGCAGAAGAAAGACATAACGTTTGATGAGGAATTTCGACAGGTGGCTGATTCTTTGAAGGCCGATTACACTCCTTATCCCTGACACAGAGTGGGCGTGGCATCTGAAGATAGCTCACATTGGGTCACTCGTGAGATATTTCTGGGTGAGGCAACTGTCATCTTGTTCCATGTTGGACAGAAAATTGACCACAGTTGTATCAAAATAAAACTATCCCTTCAAAAGCACAGCCAGCGCTACGTTTGTGTGAAGTACGCAGCCACGCCTACCACATCTCAGGGATTTCGAGTGTACATTAGTGATGAGTGTGATCGAAATTCGTCATGTTTAGAGACTCGAGAAAAACGAAGATGGGTGGCGCCTCATACGGTTAGATGCCGACATCAATTATCCCGGAAGGAAATTGGCGTTGCAGAAGGTATTTTCTTGTGTTCATAATTTATTATCAGTTAATGAACTCATCGGTGTTGGAAGGGGTAGGTGGAGTACTTGGCAGTAATGGGCAGCGGGCCGCCAAACACTGCAAGTCGCGATATGTATTAGTAAAGCGGCCCCAGATACCAGCTTGGTAGGTCCGCCAACTCCGCCAAAAAAACATTCATAAATGGGTAAGCGAAAGGAAAAAACGGTCCTACAAAACATGGGAACTTATAGAATTATAGATAATCAGACGATGGGCTGTTGAGAACTTACAATCAACATACTATTAAACGAAGTACAGCTACTTATAAGAAGTAGCTAATAAACACTGAAGCATATTTACTTGCTCAAGATTATCTAGCAAACCATAATGAGCTAAATTAGGACAGACACGGGGACTAAAAATAAGGTTTTAATTCGTACCTCAAGGACGACCTCTTGCAAAACGAAACGAAAAAAGTGGACAGTAACACAAAGAATGAAGTGCAACACACGTTAGTGCAGTTGTCCTTGAGAATAGAGTACCAAGGTTCCAACTTTCAGCAAATTCACTCTAGCGCCAGCCCTGCTTCTTAAGAATCCTACTGGTTTTTCCTCCGAAAGACTTGGAAGACATCGAGTTAACTACGTCGGCTGCAGCTTACCAGGGAAGTCCGCCAAACTCACCATGGAACTTTGAATGGAGACCTGGGTAGATCGATAGAGTCTATAAGGTTATTTACAAATAGATAGCAAAACTGCAACCTGCATTTCACAAGCAGCACTTGAGCAGTAGAGTTTGTATTGGTGCAGTAAGTGCAGTAAGGTGGAGAGTTTGTAATGGTGGAGTATCGCCTACGTTGAATCGAGTCGTCGAACGTCGAACCTTACCACTGAACCACCACGACTCGATTCGACGTATGCGATTCCTCGCTTATGCTTCACAGCTCACCACCAAGCCTCCACCCTACTGCACCACTTTACCTGCTCATAAGTTGCTTGTGAAATGCAGGTTGCATTTTTCTTATCTCTATAAAAAATAAACTCTATAAAATCTATATCTCTATAAAAAGTAAATAACCTCGTAGACTCTATCGATCTACCCAGGTCCTATGGTAATTTGGCGGACTTCCCTGGTCAGTCCAGATGGAGATAACCCTTTGAAGTAGGCTGTCCCTACACATGCGAATGGGTTTTTCTCTTAGCAACTTGAAGCAATGCTGATTTGGGCCTAATAAACGGCTTCTCATGAGCTGCCTGTGAGAGGAGTTCCAATTGTACGTGCTTTCTAAATAGAATGCCAGCCTTAGTGCACGGCATTTGACTAATCTCTACCTCATTTCTCACGTACAGGTATTATAGCGTTTATTAAAAGAAGATTAGGGTTCACATGGCGGTTTAGAAGGAAAAGAACAGGTGCTCTACTGTTTAGCACTACTAGAAAACAGATTTTCTCCAAAACGTCATCCAGAGCTATTCGATTCCCATCAATATTTTTATATGCAAGGAAAACTTACATCCTTACTTTCTATCCATACGCCTTGCTGTTTTCAGTTCCTCCGGAGTATGGTGTTCCAATGTTTTGTCATAGTTTTCGTTCTGCTAAACGCCGTTATCAACGCCTCGTTTGTGTATAGGCACGATCACACGGACAAAATTAGGAAATGGTACTACTATCTTATTGAGGTGAACAAATCTATTTTTTTGTGAGTTCGAAAATGAAGCATCCATCGTTTCGCTTCTACAACTTCTTGCGACTCTTGGTCAGCATCGAAACCACTGCACAAATTGTAGCCCATTTTCTGCTCGCTATTCAGATTTAAAATAATCCATTCCTACGAGTACATTCTTCGTTCTAGGTGGGATTCACGGTGCTCTTCAACTTGGAGTGCTTGACAAAGATTCTCTGCTACGGATTTCGAAATTTCTTCCGCCGTGGAATTTTCAAATTCGAACTAATTCTATGCATAGGCAGCTCGTTGAATGCGATTAAATATTTCTATGATCGAAACTATTTCACCTACTTTCAAGCTTTTCGTCTCCTACGGCTCATCAAGGCGTCCTCCGATCCTCGAAGATTTCGTTTGGAAGGTGGGTAAAGGTATTTTATGATACTATGGTAATGATATGTGCTCCTTATCCCTGAGTCGGGGTAGGCGTGGCATTTGGACATGGCACAGGATGGGTTACTCGTGGGATATTTCAACTCGAGACAACTGCCATCTTGTTCTATGGTGGACAGAGACATGACCACAATTGTTTCAAAATGAAAATATCTCACCAAAAGCACAGCCACCGCCACATTTAGTTGAAGTACGCAGCCACGCCTACCGCATCCTAGGGATTTCGAGTGTAAGTATTGTCGGTGTTCCTATTGTGCCAGTGTCAGATCACCAGTTGACTTCGGTTGAATGGATCTCTTTATTCTAGATATTCAGCCCTGGTAAGAAACTTGGTGGTCTGGTGATTTTCACAATAACTTTTGTGATAATTGCGTCAGCCATTTCACTGCAACTATTCTACGCTGTACCGAAGCTCCACCACTTTCACACTTTCCCCCAGGTAACGCAACCATGGTATCCTTTCTATTGTGCTACCTTGTCTGATGACGGCGCTATTTCCAGGCGTTTGTTTCGATGTTTCAAATTATCACTCAGGAGGGTTGGACAGATTTTGTTGTGGAAGTGCTGCGAGCTACCGATGACAAGCTGGTGCCATTTGTTGCCATCTACTTTGTGGCCTACCATTTGTTCGTCACCTTAGTGAGTGTCCACATGGGAAAAAATAGTCCATGCTTTTTTGCATTTGCGATTTAGATCGTGCTCAGTCTGTTCGTCGCCGTCATTCTCGACAATCTCGAAATGGATGAAGAGTTGAAGAAAGTCAAGCAACTGAAAGCACGAGAAGCGGTTTGCAATTTTATGAAGGGTTTCTGTTCTCATGCTGGAAAGCCTGAATTCCATTGTTTTAAATGTAAACTACTACACATACAAACACTTTAAAGAAAGTTCACTGTATGGGGCTAGACAGTAAACACTCCATGGTCGGCTTTCAGTTAATCTTGGCATATAGACGCAGTAGCCGCTGTGTGGACCTGTAGCCCTCCGAGATTGTTATAAACGTTTATTAGACTAACGTTTCGGTGAAAATCGCCTTCTTCGAAGTCCTGTAAAGTCGAAAGCATCGAGACACTTAACCCAGAAACCAATATTACTCACAAAAAAATTCAAGGGTAGGAAATCAGGGAACGAAATCGTAACGGACCTACAACTCACCTCTTACTGATGTGGAACTCTACCGGGCACTCTGAGCCTAGAGCCTGAGCGGTGCTTTTATATGAGTTTCAGCTCAGAGTTCTCGGGTCACAAGGGACTATACGCCACTGCGAACATTGGTCAAAGGCCTGAAGGTAAGACTTTTAAAATTGCACAGGTCAGGCCAACCGCCGCCAGGAATGGAGGGCAAAAAAGGCTCATTTTCAATTGTGAAAAAGCGTTAGGAACGGTCGTCCATTTGTGGGCGAGCGGGTGTTTGAGTCGGTATGTTGTGGCTTGATAGGGCCCTTATAAAGGCACGTTCCTTGGAAGGCATTATGCAGCGCCTGCTCAGGGTCGCGGAATTCCGTCCTGCCAGGCGTACTAATCCTACTCGTCTTGGGGATTTATCGTGCCAACTGCCTTTAAGAACTCACTGGGTCATAGCTAGCGGACCTCGACATCCAAAAAAGTGTGAACCACAGGCCTAAAGGCAGTCACAAATGATCCGAGTGCCTTTCGCCTTATGCGTTGTGTGGGATAATTATTAGTTTCACCAATTGCTGAATTAGTATGTAAAGCAGCATTCCTTCGTCACATTCTGGTATCAACTTACCGTCTCATGGCCGCCATCTGAGGACGTGTGGGAAACTTCTCGAATACTCGCAAACGCCAGGGCAGTGTCGAGCGCATCGATGTAGTCTGAAAGTCTCTTGCTCAGCCAGAATCTGATATGCAATCACTATGCCAAAGTGTTACTTCTTACTTCTTCAGCACGCTGGAAGCGCTACGCTACGCTGCGCTACGCTACGCTACGCTGCCGCAAAGTATAAACGCAGCCTAAGCAAATTATGAAGCGATGGGATTGGTATGAAGCGGCGTGATGCTGCATGGATATACAGTCGTCATCCTTGCACTTGATAGTCAATGTCAGTGCGGCTGCGTGCGGCGCGGTCGCCCGCACCCGTACTGCACCAATCGTTGAACCAGGAAGTGACATTACTGTATTATATCCTTCGTGTTACTCGTTTTCTATCACTTTTTGTCGCATACGCGTTTCAACGAAAAGGCTGAGAAGGCTTCAAACAGTGTGCACGCTCCTTCTCGCCGACACGCCCCTATCAAGTGCAAGGATGACGACTGTATGAGTACACATATGCAGCCGTACCTTCGGTAGCGGTTATTGGCAAGATGCCTACGGGAAACTCGTCCAAAATTGATTTTGAACACATTGAGAACGGAGGCTCTTTCTTCGCAGGATTTTGACCGTTTCACTCCGTTCTTTCGCCATTCCCCCACTATACAGTTCCCTTTTAGCATTTTAGACAGAGCACCAGAGCTCGGTTCATTTTATGTTCCCACGCTTTCTTTTGATATGGTAGCCGTCTCTACAAGGCTAGAGGATATACTATTCTCGCAGGTCAAAGAGACGCGAGGAATGTGCCCCCCCCCCGTTTGTAAAGGAACTGCCGTCCCGCCCGCTTACTGCCCAAGTTCATTTTCAACTGCTACTGAATCTCCCCATTTCGAATGATGAGATCGTGACAACAAGGTCAAAGAGCTGGCACCAATAAGTGACAACTCGTCCACCCACGAATTTCCTTTGTCATAGGGCGGTTCGGCATAGGGTTTCATATAGGGAATTTTCGGAGAGTTTTTCTGCCTTTTGCTCTTCTTCACCGCGGATCACTTGAAACCTTGTCAGACTATGAGCCGCATAGCTCATCATTTCTGAAAGCGGGCTCTGCCCCCAAAGAAAGAAGCACAGAATTGACGAACAAGTAAGATTGTACATAAACACGAGGGAGAAAATGGGAGGAGTATCTCGGGCTGCAGTCCCCATTAATTAGCTAAAAGAAACTAGACAGAAGTAAGCTGCGATG